ATATCCATTTTCTTTATCTAAATCATTTGATACCCTCATCACCTTATCTTTATCTATGTTCACTTTTTCAACTTTCTACTTTACACACATTCTCAAAACTCATCCACTAACCTTTGCAATTTTTCTTTAGAATCTCCATAAGCACAGTATCATCAGAAAAAAGTAACTGTGTCAATTTTTTATTTAGTTTCCATTTTAAATTTGATTCCCCATACTTTTAAATCCACCCCTCTCCGACCACCCTAGATTTACTTCTTTTACAACCCCATCTATAAAATATATTAAACAACCATGGTGACATTACACATCCCTGTCTAAGACTACTTTTAAAACCGGGAAGTATTCTCCCTCTCTCTTACCACACCCTAACCAGGAGCCTCCTATCTCATTAAAAGCTCTTTTACAGATTTAGTAATTACCACCTATTCATATACTTGCAACATCTGCCACATAGCTCTCTATCCACTCAATATATGCCTTTCTAAAATCCATGAATGCAATAAAATTCCCTACCTTTTAATCTAATACTGTTCACATTATATGCTTCAATGTAAACCACATGATCTACACATCCCCTACCCCACTCTGAAACCTCCTTGCTCGTCGCCAATTCTACATCTGTCTTACCTCTAATTCTTTCAATTCTAACCTACCGTATTACTTTTCCTGGTATACTCAGTAACTTATTCCTCTATAATTTTTACAATTCTCTTTTGTCCCTGCCTTTTATATAACGGTGGGGACTATCATGCTCTCCGCCAATCCCTAGGTACCTTCCCCCTCTTTTCATACATTTATTAACAAAAGTAACCAACCACTCCCAACACTAATATCCCCCCCTGCTTTTAACATTTCTGTTCCATGATCATTCAGTTCCAGCTGCTTTACCCCCTTTCATTCTATGTAATGACCTCCCGTTACCAACACCAACTTACATTCTGCTCTCTTTCACTCTAAAAAAATGGTTATACCTCCTGAGGGCATGAACTTACCGCCCTCCTTACTTCCTTTCAACATTTAAAACGTTCTCAAAATATTCTCGCCCCTCTACTAATACTCCCTGTCCCCATCTACCTAACTCCCTACTCTGTTTTTAAACTGACAATCCATTACTTTCCCTAGGCTTTCTTAACTTGTAACTCCTCCAAAATATTTTCTTATTTTCATTAAAATTTCTTGACAGTGCCTCTCCCAACCTTTCATCTGCTCTCCTTTTGCCACTCTCTCACCACTCTACTTCACCCTTGCTTTTACTCTCCTATCTCTGCTCTTCTTATAACACTTCTGCTTTTGTAAAACCTCTCGTAAGCTACCATTTTTCTCTTTTATACACCTTTACTTCATCCATTTCCACCATCATCCTCTTTTCCTCCTGCCCCCACCTCCTATAATCACAAACTTCTGCCCACATTTCTTAATACTGCATTTTTCAAACTATTCCTGTAAACTGTAACCTTGTTATGTTTGTGAGGACAGACAAAGGACACCAGCAATTATACCATCATGTTAAACAATTACAGGCTTTCGTTTTACACAACTTGGCTGGACGGTTAGACTCCCTGGGCAGTGCTGCTGTCTACACCTATTACCTATGAATTCTTGACTTTATACATTAATATTTTCTCTCTTTTCTGCCATAACTGACCCTTCAAACATTACTGTTTATCCTTTCTTAACTCTTCTCAGATAGCCTCTAAACCTAATCCCAATTATTTCCCCCAGCCGAATTCTCCTACCCCCATCACTTTGTTTCCCTGGGAGCCAGGATATCCAGCTTCTTTTTATTTCATAACACTGACAATCTCTTTTCTTATCATCTAAAACTACATCAATGCATATTCAAACATTCCAACTTTGTATAGATTTCTTTTTAAACATGCCGGCTGTCTCCCACCAAGGCAGGGTGACCAAAAAGAGAAAAACACTTTCAGCATCATTCACACATAATTACTGTCTTTGCAGAGGTGCACAGACATGACAGTTCAGACGTCACTCCAAACAGCAAGTATCCCAACCCCCTCCTTTAAAGTGCAGGCATTGTACTTTCCACCTCCAGGACTCAAGTCCGGCTAATGAGTTTCCCTGAATCCCTTCACAAAATATTACCCTGCTCACATTTCAACAGCTCATCGAGCCCCAAATACCATTTGTCTCCATTCACTCCTAACACACTCACACATGCCTTATATATTCTTATATTCCATAATTTATACAGAAAGGGTTACTAGCCCCTTGGCTCCTGGCATTTTAGTTGCCTGTTACGACATGCATGGCTTACGGTGGAAAGATTCTATTCTCCTTCCCCATGGAGATGAAGGAAATAAATAAGAACAAAAACTATTAAGAAAACAGAAGAAAACCCAGATGGGTATGTATACATAAACATGCATGTGTATTGTGACTTAAGTTTAAGTAGAGGTAGCAAGATGTACCTCTTATCTAGCATGTTTATGAGAGAAAGAAGAGACACCAGCAAACCTACCATTACGTAAAACAATTACAGGTTTCAGTTTCACACTCATTTAGCAGAATGGTAGTACAGTGGAACTCCGGTTTTCGCAAGCTCCAGTTATCGAACGTTTCGGTTTTAGGACCATTTTTTGTGTAAAATTTTGTTTCGGATGTCAGACCTTGATCCGGTAATCAGACGTATTATACACGTCCACTCATACGTTCGTGACTCACTCTTGGGCACATTAAATATCTTGTTTTATGTTAATATAGACATTTTCATTAATCCATCTATGATATTTTCTTCAAAATTATATAAGAAACACGTTGCATAGCATAGTATAAACATGCAATGTTTATGTTATCGAGTGGTGAGTTGGTGAGAGAAAACATTAAGTTTTCTCTTTTTCTCTGGTTGAGCATTGGAGAAAACTGTATGAATCTGCATAGGGCTTTTGTTTACAATTCTTGGCATGAATTATTCATTACTTCTCCCTTTGTTTACGATGGCATCTGAAGGTAGTTGTTAGAAATGATTCAACTCAGTGAACAAGGTATGTTGATGGTAATAATATGGCCCTGGGCCGCATTAAGTATCGTGTAGATAGGTGTATGTATGTAGCCCAGGCTACCTACTGGCTACCTAACGGCTACTTACCTCTACCAGCAACCTACATCTACCGGCTACTTAGTAAGTAAGTTTATTTAGGTATACACAAATACAGTTACATAGATTATCATACATGGCAGCATGTGTGTAGAGAACCTAAGATAACCCAAAAAAGTCAGACACAGTGACTTCCTACAAAAAAGTACTACTCACCTTTCACCCTACATTAAGACTACAAATATTTTAAGGTAAGTAATGAATGTGGAAGAGTTGGTGGATGACCACAGAGAAGAGCTAACCACTGAACAGCTGCAACACTATAGTTAATCTTTAAAAAATTTATTTTTTTGTTAATTATTTTTGGGTGTCTGAAAACGGATTAAGTGTACTTACATTATTTCTTATGGAAATACCAATTCAGTTTTCACACATTTCGAGTTTATAGAATGACCTTCTGAAACAGATTAAGTTTGAAAACTGGGGCTCCACTGTACCTCCCGGGGTGGTTGCTGTCTGTCAACCTACTACTCAAATATATATTAACTCTTTCACTGTCAGTGTTATATTAGTATGGCTTACAAGTCAGAGTTGGTGCCATAGTATTGCACCAAATTCTAGCGGCTTCAAATCTATGAGATAAACTGAAAGATCTACATGTTAGAGAATGTGTCTGCGTGGTCATTGTGCGCAGTATAAAAAACAATCCTGCAGCACGCTGTGCATAAGAAAAAATAAAACTCCATGTTTTTGGTTTAAAAAGCCGAATTTGGTGTATTATCATATGGTATTATGGTTGTATTCTCATTTTCTTGATCTCATTGATAGAATGGAAGATATATTACAGAAACAGATGATTTTGATTGGTTTCATGATGAAAAGTACCTTGAAATTGAGCTCAAAGTAGCAGAAATTTTTTATTTTTGCCGACGCTCAAGAGTAAACAAATGACATCACCGTCCAATACATGATAAACTGGCCAGTCTAATACACAGTAACAAATAGGCTGACATTATTATTTAAACAATTATTATAATAATGCAGTAGTCTGCCTAACAGTAAATCTTCTATTTTTTTGTGAGGATAAAAATTCAAAATGGAAAGCAAGAGTAATATAAGAGGGGCCTGGAGACATGGCTAATGAACAGAGAAAATGTTATTTTAGTGCCAGGAATGTCTGTATTGTTTATTCTGGACCCTATTTTGAAATTGGCATGTTTCGAAATTTGTGTGAAACTGGCCAAATTGCCAATTTCTGACCACTTTATTGGGTAGTTGAAATCGGTAAATGGGCGGTTTCTTGTACTCAATCGATAGAACAAATGGGGTTCTGGCAAAATAGTTACGAGTTTGGTAGACTGGAACAAAGGAATTGGCCAAAAATTGCGCTCAAAGTGGGCAAAATCGCTGATGCATATACATATAGCTGAGACCGCTAACGTAATTCCATAAGTTTCCATCAAATTTCGTACTTTTGGTGTCATTACCATCAGAAAAAGGTTCTCTGTCATTTCATATATTTTTTTTTTAAATTCTTCAACACTGAGAGCAAGTTTGTGAGCAGGGATTCTGACAGTGAGAGGGTTAAACAAATACACAAGCCATTCCAAAATCACATCCTCCACCTGCTTGATTCATCTCCATCTTACTTCCATCAATCCTCAATGCTCCACTCACTTTCAAACAGGCTACTGCCTTACCAACTTTCTCCTTATTCATCGTTGTGCCTCCTTCCTCCTAACAGATCTTATTCCATGTATAAAATCAACACCTATATTCTCATCCACATTTCAAGGCTCCAAATATTTTGTTCATATATACAATTTTTTACCTCCCGTCCAACATCTAACCATATTCACTCTTAACTGCCAAGTCCATATGGTTTCCAAGCTTTCTCACTTTATTGTTCTTACATAGTATATCAACAGAGATCTTTACTCACTGGTCCTTCAGTTTTTTCTGTCTTCTCTGCAGTTTCCTCATCCAGATCCATGTAATTTCCTCCTTTGCTAGGTTGTACTTTAGAACCAGTAGTAACTTCAGTGACAGTTGGTTCAGGGGCTGGGTCTTCCATATCCCTAGTTAGATCCTCTTCCTCCTCTTCCATTTTTGTTTTCTTTACTGGTTTTCCTGGCGTGGTAGTGTTCCGTGCTCTAAAAACAAACAGTATAAACATATAAGAGAAAGCATAAGAATTATAGAGGAATAAGTCTGGTAAGTATATTCCATAAAGTGTACAACAGAATTATCAAGGGTTAAAGGAAAAAGACAGAAATTAGGATTGTACAGGCATAAGAAGAATTTATAAAGAAAAGGGGATATGGGGATTATGTGCAGTATTTGTATTAAAGCGCACACGCGTGCATATATAGTATACACATACATATGAGCAAGGTGAGTGTTGAATGATGATGAAAGTCTTTTCTTTTTGGGAATTTTCTTTCTTTTTGGGTCACCCTGCCTTGGTGGGAGACTGCAACATCGAGTCCTGCTTCTTGCAGAAGTGTTGCCGATATACCATTTTTTCTATTTTTCATATTATTTTATATAATTTTTTATGTTCTGATAATTACAATTTATAGTAGTTCTTGTCATTTCATAACCGATGTTTGTGCATGATACATAATATGAAAAATTAGTTGGGTTAAAGTTCAATCAAATCAAATAAGATGTGTGTTACAATTTGATACATTAGGCGACACTCAAAACAATAACTCAGATTCTGGATGCCATGACTTTTCAAAGTAACAAAGTTTTGTACAGTATAACGTAGCATCAATGCTTTTATGGAGAAGCCAAACCACAACATTAAAGGATAATTAAAAATAGAAATAAAGTGTCTAGGCACATACACAATGCCAACTTTAGCTTATTTTTTAATTTAATAATGTTGCAATTTATCAATTTAACCCTTAAACTGTCCAAACACAGATCTATGTTTTTTCAACATTTGAAAAGTATGTAAAAAATGTAGATCTTTTTCTTTTTACATTTGAAAGCATGTAAAAAAAACTTTGATCTACTTTAAGGGTTAAAGGTTGTTATTCCACGAGGGATATCAAAGAGGTATGCGTTTCTGGTGTGGTGCCTATGTACTTGGCTAGACTTACTAACAAAATGGAGATGATTTTGGTCATTTTCAGTCCAGAGGAAGTATTTGTATTTTTCTGTGATTTTCCTGAGAAAGGGCAGGGGCAGGCCCCCACAAACCCTCTCCCAGGTCTGTTTCATGGGTTTTTACTAGACCTGGTTCAATTATCAGGATGGCTTAAACCATGACCAATCCTTCCTGGTTATGTTGTATTAGCCAAGAAATAAGGTAAAACATTGATTTTTAGTGATAGTGGATTCAAAACAGAGGGCCCATGTTAAATAGGAGAGGCCTAGGGATGTGATTGATCAAGTGGAATGCCCACAGTATTTACTTTGGACTCTCTTTAACCCTTTCACTGTCAAGAACCCTGCTCACAAACTTGCTCTCAGTGTCGGAGAATTTAAAAAAAAAAATTCTTATGAAATGATACAGAATCTTTTCCCGGTGGTAATGACATAAAAAAAAAATACAAAATTTGGTGGAAAACTTACGGAATTACGCTCTTACGAAGTTAGCAGTCTCAGCGATATACATGCATCAACGATTTTGCCCACTTTGAGCCCTATTTTCAGCCAATTCCTTTGTTCCAGTTAACCAAGCTCATTGCTATTTCGCTGGAACTCCTTTTGTTCTATCGACTTAGTATAAGAAACTGCCCATTTACCAATTTCAACTACCCAATAAAGTGGTCAGATATTGGCAATTTGGCCAATTTCACACAAATTTTGAAAGATGCCAATTTCAAAACAGGGTCCAGAATAAACAATGCAGACATTCCTGGCACTAAAATAACATTTTCTCTGTTCATTAGGCACATCTCCAGGCCCCTCTTATATTATTCTTGCTTTCCATTTTGAGGTTTTATTCACACAAAAAATAGAAGATTTACTGTTATGCAGACTACTGCATTACTGTAATAATTGTATAAATAATGTCAGCCTATTTGTGACTGTGCATTAGACTGGCTAGTTGGACACTTATTGGACAGTGAGGTCATTTGTTTACTCTTGAACATCAGCAAAAATCAAACATTTACACTACTTTGCGCTCAATTTCAAAGTACTTTTCATCATGAAACCAACCAAAATCATCTCTATTTCTGTAATATATCTTCCACTCTATCAAATGAGACCAAGAAAACAAGAATACAACCATAAATACCATACAACAATACACCTCAAAGTCAGTGTTTTAAACCTAAAACATGGTCAGAGTTTTTTTCCTCATTATGCACTGTGTGCTGCAGGATTTTTTTTTATACTGTGCACACCGACCACGCAGATCCATTCGCTCACATGTAGGTTTACCAGCTTTCTCCCGCTAGATCTGAAGCCGATAGAATTTTGGCATATTAATGTGGCACCAACACTGGCTTGTAAGCCATGCTAATACAACACCGACAGTGATAGAGTTAATTTGGAATTTGTTATGTGTAAAATTGGCCAGATTACTGGCTTCTGGGCCCTTTATATGGTAATTTCAATGGTTCAGTAGAAAAGAACACTGGCAAACTAGCCAGGAACTGAATCCATTTAAGCAATGGAACTGGCTTAAAATAGGCCTCAAAATGAGCAGAATTGCATTTGCCCAGTGCTCCCTAACCTCTAACTTCACAACTGTGTAATTCTGTAAGTTTTGCATTTTTGGTATCATTACCTATAGTAAAACATTCTCTACTAATTTAGGTTTTTTAACACTGGCCATCTTCCACTGAGGTAGGGTGACAACCCCCATCCCCTGCCCATAAAAAAAAACACTTTCACCATCACTATCACTCTTGCCAGAGGCACACCAATACTACAGTTCAAAACTGCAAATATTCCCACCCCTCCTTCAGAGTGCAAGAACTGTACTTCCCACCTCCAGGACACTGAAGAGACTTTTAACCTTGGGAGTTGCAACAGTGAAAGGATTAACAAGAGCATTTTTTTTTTTTTTTTTTGGGGGGGGGGGGGGGATATGCTGCAATAAATCATATTATTTAAAATTTACCCTTTCCTTTTGGAACGTGGTGATGGTGGTGATCGTGGTCTCTTTTTAGCTTTCTTCTTTTTATCTGGATCACTGAGGCCCATTGTGTCATCTACACTCAAGCATCCCCGATGCTTTTTCTTAGTGCCGCTGTCATCCACCTCATAATCTTCTTCATTCATCCACTCATTATAGGATTCCAAGTCTTGCAACCAGTTAGCACATACCTGAGAAATCATTTTTGAAAATTTTTTAATAATTTCTTGCTTACCATTATAACTAATGTTAAAGTTAGTGTCATGCTTTCAGTGCAGTTACAAATCCAAAATACTGTAAACAATCACAACAAAAGCAACATGTAACAGATCTTCAATTTGTGTAAAGCAAAGTTTTTAATAAATAAAATATTAAACATAACTACCAATTATTAAAATATGCTTATGTATACAGTATCACATAGTAAATGTAAAGTATATAATCTTTAGTTGCTTTTCATGTATCTTTTGTTCTTCATGTTTACAAAAGCACAATTTTATCCACACCATTTATTGCTTCATAAAGCTACTCTTATACCTTTGCTCAATTCTTACACCTTTTTTTTTAGTACTAGTTATTTCCCTGGTAAGGCGGGGTGAGTCAAAAAGACACTGACCATCACTCACTCTCTAGCTCTCATTCCAAAAGTACACACATCACATTTCAATTTGCTCTGTAATAATAATAATACAAACTTTCTTTTTTGGGTCACCCTGCCTCGGTGGGAGATGGCCGACTTGTTAAAAAAAAAAAAAACAGAACTAAGCACGCTAAACCCACAAGGATCATACAGCACTGCAATGTCCTTTGTAAAACGGATCATTGATTATCTGGTGCCTTTGGAGAGGAAGTCTTACTGGAGCTTTAAGGGAGGGGGGAGCCTTTCAGTTTCAGTAAATTAAAAATCGAAAAAAATTTTGGAAAAAAATTTTTCTTACTGAAAAATAGTACAAAATTCTGGCAACTTTTGATGTAATCTGCTTGTTTCTATTGTAGTTTAAGTATGTTTTTTATTAAAAGCATTTTTTTTTTTTTGTTGCTGCTGTCAGCAAAAATACATGTTTGGGAATTTGTTTTTTTTTCTCCCAAAAAATTTTGATTTTTATAACTGTTTCATTGTAAATACTCTACATGGCATCTTCTGTGTGGTAGTATGGAGTGCAGTCAGTACCTGCCTTAGTAGCCGTCAGGCTGTCAACAAAACAAGGAGGGGTGCAACACGCTCAGATTTGGCGTGCGTAACCGTAGAGTTTCACACCGAACAAAATCAATAATAAAAACAGAAATAAGTTAATTGACACTGTAATCCAACTCCTGCAATAAATATTAAAAAGGATTGTCATGATTTTTGCAGACGTTATTGAGGAATGATGGTTCTACAAACAACCACGTGGATTTGTGATCTGTTTACGCTTTGTTTTTAAAGTTTTTTGTACACAAAAAAAAAAAAAAAAACTAAATTACTAACTTTCAACATTTTTTTTTTTGGAATTACTGACATTATCGCTAAAAATGCTCTGGGTCATTATTAATCTAGCCCTTTTTCTTTCATTGATGTCAACTAGGCATATACATCTTCCCCAATTTTTGAAAGAAACCCCCC